CTTGTTGTCAGTGGGGGAGGAATAAAAGTTGGTAGCTGACAAAGTCAGTGTGTTCGCTCGCAGGACCCTGACACTTTATATCCATCTGTGTCACGTTACACTCCGGTCCCAGAACTCTGGGCGTGTCCAACAGGAAGTGACAACACCTGCGGAGGAATTCTGACCTGCAAGGAAAATGGAAACAGTTCCTCTGCCCCGGCACGGACACTGAGTGGGGTCAGAACCAGCGGGTGAGGCTCCTCCGGTTACCGTGACTGCACTGACTGATCTCAGATCAGGTCACGTTTCACTGTTCAACAACAACGACCACAACAAAACAAATGTTACGACACCAAAAACTACAGCAGCTGAAACCACGAGCACCAAAACAACAGCGTCAACAGACGACCAGGACGAGGTCCAGGACCAGACCTGACGTGTCTGTGACCACGTGTCTGTGACCACGATGTGACTGTCGTAACGTTGACAGTTACAGGAGAACCAGAGACGAGCTGACAGGGCAGATTAGACGATTACCGAGCTGAATCTCAGATGACAAAACACACACCAGCAGATGGAGCAGCAGTGCCCCCCCCCCAGCCCCTGCCCCCGCCCCCTGCTGGATTACCAGATCTTTACAACCACACACAGGGGTTTATCCACAACTGTTTACAATCAGAGCAAAGGAAGTGGCAGCAGCTCCACTTCCTGTTTCAGCCTGACCGACTGACACAGGTACTGACGGCCGCGCAGGAGTGCAGTGGTTTGTAGCGTTGCCGCAGGTACAGATCAGGTCAGCAGTTCACATCAGATGTGTTTGGTTTGTTCATGTTTTTCTCCCTGGTGTGGACTCGTTTCCCTCTGGTGTTACAACAGTCACCTGAGCGTCTGCGTGAATCTGATTTTTTTTTCCTCCTGGTGAACTTTTCTTCAGTCAGTCTCAGTGTCGTCATGTGACTCATCACCTGTCGTCAGTCACAGACCGGTCTGTCAGTGACCAGTCAGTGACCGACCTCACTGTCTTTCCCTCCTGGTCCTGGTCATGTGAATCTGAAGGTACTTTTATAGACGGTGAATGACATGTACCACTGAATACTCTGAAAGTACATCATATAACTAACAATACTAACAAGTTTCCTCCTGTGTTTCTACTTCTTCTTTTATTTTAATTGGTCACTGGAATTCTTACAGGTACTTCCCCATAATCTTTTTTTTTTTTTTACTCTGAAACATTTGCTCACAGAAATGTCTGATCCACTTGTAAAAGAAAAAACCCAGCAGTACCTTGTACACATCCACAAATACTACTAAAAGTACTCACAGAAGAGTTTTTAATTTCACTAACTACTAACGTGTTTTGATTTCAGATACTGTGTATATATCGATGTTGATCCGTGTCCACCGTCAACAACAGGAAAATACAGTTTTCACCCAACGGTCAAAAGAAGCTAATATGACTTTTCTTTTTTTCTTCTTTTTCTAACTGTTACCGGTCACTTTGGTCAGATCTGCTTCTACAGGTTCGTACATGGAAGTTCTGCTCAGCCTTCGGCTTCGTTCGGCTCATACATGATCCACTGTACACCTGTCATTACGTCACACTTCCGTCTGAGTCCACCGTCCACCTGTTGTCTGGACGGGAGCCAGTCACTAAAAGTTAGTAACAGTTTACGGTTCACTTCTGTTCACGGACTGTGTCGGTTATAACCGAGGATGACGTGGTGGGGGTGGGGGGTATTAAGAGACTAAAGAGAACAGAAACTACCCCCCTCTCTCCCCTTCCCTCTCCACACTGACACAGATACTCTCTCTCTCTCTCTCTCTCACCTTTGTATACAGTTCGTTCACCGACATCTTTTCGAGCTTCTCTCTCGTTTTACGGCGCTGTTCTATGTCCCATTAACTCGAGGATCAGAACCGCATCAGAACCGCAACAGTTTCCATGATAATCCTCCAGGGTCTACGGCAGCAGGTGAACACTTGTTGTCCGCACCATGTCGCTGGGCGGCAGCAGCAGCGGCGGAGCCGAGAGGGAGGGAGGAAGGGACGGAGGGGGGAGGGAGGGGAGGTGGGTTTCGGTAAAGCTCGGCTCTGGAGGAGACTCTCCGGTTCTCCTCAAACTTTTTTTCCGGTGTTTCTCCGGCCGGTCCTCCGGTCTGTTCCGTCCAGGTGTTCGGCAGGTGTTGGTCCTCCCTGCGGTTCGGCGCAGGTGAGTTCCTAGACGATCCTGGGATGACGTCAGAGAGGTCGAGAGTACTTCCTGACACACAGTGCGCTCGCTGATTGGCTCTTTCTCTGGCCCGCAGCCAGGTTTCCACGGTCTCGACACACACTCACACACACACACACATGCACATATAAAAGTACACGTTGACGAGTGTAAACATCTGGGGCGCGGCCTGATCAGGGACACTTGTGAAAATGTGTTGTGATGTAAAAATATTTAACCACAGGTGGCAGCATTGTTAGTAATACATTATAAAAGAAGCTAGCCAACTAGTGGAGGTGAGGAGTAATAAAAATGTTAATGACTGTTGTTAGCGGTGTGTAACAACAAACAGACGTCACACTCACTTTTTAAATTTGTATCTGGCTGAAATCCAACGGATCAAGTCAAGATCTGAAAACACATCGAAAAAATGATATTCTTCCCTGTGACCTGTCGACGACCTCTGGGTAACTAAAAATTCTGCTTTACTTTTATTTCTTTTTTAAAATTTTTTTTAAACTTTGATCGACATCAAAATGAATCCTGGGTAAAAAAAAAAATGTATGAAAGAATTTGGTGGTTTCTGTGTCTGAAGCTGCTGCTGGTCAACAGTGGAACTGCAGCCAAAACAAATGTGAGACTTGGAGCTGACGCTGACGTTGTCCACAGTCTGACCTGCTGTTTGTTTCATACTTTAAACTTAATTATATATAAATTTATATAAAACGATTTAGTCATGTACGATATTCTCACTTCAGTTTTGCTAAATTTGCTGCTTAAATATAAATACAATATAAATATGAGTAGAAAATGGCGAGGGTGGGTTGTGGCGAGGGTGGGTTTAAAAAGCTGATTGTCTGATTTTGTCTAAATGTTTTAAACACAACAAAACTTCAGAGCCTCGCAGAAAAAAAGTACTTTAAAAACGTCCGACTGACGCCGAGAAAACTGTGGTAAAAACCAGACTCCTGGTCAAGGTGGAAACGACTGAATCAAAGCATCAAACAACAACTTATTAATGTTAATAATCAACTTATTAATGAATGATCATACTAATTATGGTTATTGTCCTCAGGCCCAGAAACACTGACGGATCAAGATAAGGACCAAGAACACCTGAACCTCTGTGGTCACCTGGTCACCTGTTCACCTGGTCACCTGTTCACCTGGTCACCTGGTCACCTGGTCACCTGGTTACCTGTTCACCTGGTCACCTGGTCACCTGGTCACCTGGTCACCTGGTAACACCATGAACTAAATTTAGAGTACTGCAGTGTAGTACTGCAGTACTGGTTGTTTTACCACATTCTGATTTACTGACTGAACTCCTCGTTGGTGCAGTTTGATGAAACTGTATCCTAGTTCACTGTAGTTCAGCTCAGGTACAGTCGCTCTGGTTGTCACGTCACTCGTTTGTCTGGTTGTCACGTCATGACGGGAGCCTTTCACCGCAGTTTGTGTCACTGTAATCAGTTCTGGCTGTAAACAGTTCTGACTGTAAACAGTTCTGACTGTAAACAGTTCTGACTGTAAACAGTTCTGACTGTAAACAGTTCTGACTGTAAACAGTTCTGACTGTAAACAGTTCTGACTGTAAACAGTTCCGACTGTAAACAGTTCTGACTGTAATCAGTTCCGACTGTAATCAGTTCTAACTGTAAACAGTTCTGACTGTAGACAGTTCTGACTGTAAACTGTTCTGACTGTAGACAGTTCTGACTGTAAACTGTTCTGACTGTAGACAGTTCTGACTGTAAACTGTTCTGACTGTAGTCAGTTCTAACTGTAAACAGTTCTGACTGTAGACAGTTCTGACTGTAAACAGTTCTGACTGTAAACAGTTCTGACTGTAAACAGTTCTGACTGTAAACAGTTCTGACTGTAAACTGTTCTGACTGTAATCAGTTCTGACTGTAGACAGTTTCGACTGTAGACAGTTCCGACTGTAAACAGTTCTGACTGTAAACAGTTCTGACTGTAGACTGTTCTGACTGTAATCAGTTCTGACTGTAAACAGTTCTGACTGTAATCAGTTCTGACTGTAGACAGTTCTGACTGTAATCAGTTCCAGTGTTCCCGACTCCTCCTCTTGGTTCGTGAGTCCAGTCTTTCTCACCGTCGTCTTCTCTCTGACTGTACTCTCTCTGACGGTGTTCCTCTACAGCGTGACTGTGTCAGCTCATAAATCTGACCTTTGAGTTGTCGTTAAGATGATAAGGCCGTGACCTTTGCCTCGCGGTGGCTCTTACCTTGGCGTAGGGGCAGTAAAGGCTCGTCATCCTCGGCTCCTCACATCTGTCCGATCGTCGGGGGAGAAAAAAAAAAGAGTGTGGGAAGCAGCAGAACTCCGACCTGTCTGAGCCAATCGGCCACTCCCAAACCGCTCCTGTCACAGGTATGAGCCGTGACGACGCCACGCCCACAGGTTTAAATGGTTTTAGAAACGGAAGAGTTCTGGTTAAATACAGTTAAATTATTAACAACATGAGGTTAAATTTTGCCGAGTCAGAATCAGAAAATACTGAGACAGAGCTTTAAAACGAGCAAAAAGGCTGACTGATACAGAAACTCTAGAGGGGGGGGTGGGGGGGGAGGGAAGGCAAACTCAGTCTGGGTCAGGAGTCACCTGATTGGATGTCAAGTGGGCCAGAACCAGTCTTTTTTCTCCATGTTTCATGCCAATAAATAAAAAAAAATACATAAAAAATCTTCATATTTAGTGAAATATAATTTTACAAAACATTTCCTGAACACGAAGTACTTGTGTATTATTTATTTATTTATCTATTTATTTATCACTTTTCAAGATTCATCAAACGGGCCTGTTTTGGCCCACGGGCCGCATGTTTGCCACCCCTGCTCCGTAACTCAAGAGTTAGCAAACGGACGTGTCAGAGGAAAAGTAATGAAATAAATAAATGAGTAAAATTATAACCTCGATCATCTGAGGACACCAGAGTTTTGTTCACTGGCTTTGCTAAAAAAAAAAAAAAAATAAAAAAAAAAAAAAGCTTGGGTGGAACATTTACTGTCTCCAAACCAAACCAAGCCTCTCCTTCATAATTACAATGTTCTGCAACAGTTCTTTGACTTCTGAATAACTAGTTTAAAAGTTCAACCTTAGAGACAGAGAGAGAGAGAGACAGAGAGAGAGAGAGAGAGACAGAGAGAGACAGAGAGAGAGAGAGGCTGTAAATGTCAACAAACCCATTTATAAATAGAAACATTTAATCATCACAATCTAAAACTCCCAACTTGCGCCAAACGTGACATCGCGATGACGTCACACTCCCCTGGAGCGGTGTGTTCTTCTACGGTCAGGCTGTTGTTTGTGGTGATGCTGTTCCGTGACTCCACGCGGGTGGAGCTGTGGAGGCGGAGGCGTTTTTCCTGTTGTGCGGTCACGGTGTCTGTGTCCCGGTGTGACGTAACACTGTTGCTGCTCGTTAAAGGCTTTGGTTTCTGGGCAGATCGTTTTGAAACTCCAGTCCAGGTGAAATCCACCAACAGCCGTCGATACAGAATCGTCCGAGTTTCTCTCCAATCGTTGGATCACGGTGTACTGAGCTCCAGGATTGATACGTTTTAGAGCAACATTAGCGGTAGCATCGTAGCCTCGTAGCCTCGTAGCATCGCATCCTCATAGCATCGTAGCATCGTAGCCTCGTAGCATCGTAGCATCGTAGCTTCGTAGCATCGTAGCCTCGTAGCATCGTAGCATCGTGCTACATCATCATCACTCCGTGTACGAGCTTCTAAATTCCAATCGGTGTCGAAATTAATACTGTAAATCACATGCGGTTATTATGTTATCGTCGCACTAAGACTGACTGACCACAAGGGGGCGGCATGTCCTAACTGGACTGTACGTGGAATGCTGATAAAATATCAAGTCAGTAGATTTTTTTTTCATCGATCATTTTGGTGACGTGTACCGGACTCACAGATCAGAGATCGTTACAACGATAAAATGTCAGCGTCGTCATCAGCAAACGTGGAGTTTTTGTTACTAATTACGTGGGAATTTATGTGAGTGTTAACGATGTTGGCAGTACTACACTAGTACTTTTTTATAAATGATTTTAAAAAGTTAAATATTCAAACTTTTACATTTCAAACAGTGCGACACAACACGTCGGTCTAACATCGTAAACTCTTTATTTCAGAGTAATGATTTCTGAACGTTGAAGATTTATTCGGTAAAGTAAAGAATACGTCACAAGAATTCTCTATTTCTGTGGCAAAAATATCAAAGTACGTACAGTTATCAAATCATTTCTCCATAACCAGGCTTAAAAATTCAATTTTCTGAATTTACTGCGGTGTAGCGCCACCAGCTGGAGAACATGGGTGTGCACTCAGAGTATGTGTAAAGTTTTGGTTCTTCTTATAGATGAGAAGTTGGAGTTAATAAATCTCACACCAAATGTTTTTGTTGCTAAAATCCTAACGTTGACGTGACTTTATATTTGTTCAACTGACGATTAATTAGTTCAAAGATACAGGAACTGGGAACGGATCCAACCAAAGGTCACATCAGGTCAACATCCATGTCTGGACCTGGGGACCTGGTGACCTGGTGTAATCAGGTGGCACAGAAGGACGAGGTGTGGACGGACGGCGTCCAGAAGTTGCTGATGATCTCCTGGACCTTCTGATTTTCCAGCTCCAGCAGCTTCTTCTTCTCCTCTTCTTCTCTCTCCAGCTCCACCAGGAGTTCAAACTCACGCTGCTGCTTCTCCTGAATCTGAGCTCTGAGGATCGCCCCGTAGTCCTGACACTCCTCCTGGTAGCTGATGGACACATGAGGAGTGGACAGAAGAGGAGTGGACACATGAGGAGTGGACACATGAGGAGTGGACACAGTTTTGTGAGAAGAGATTGAGTTGAAAACAGGTTTTTAAAACAAAAAGTAATATCAGATAATGGGGGCAGGGGGCGCTGTAGAAAATATATGAGATTTTTTAAAGTAATATCAGATAATGGGGCCAGGGGGCGCTGTAGAAAATATATGAGAGACGTACCCTCGTTTCTCGTCCCTTTCTTCCGTCTTCACCTCCTGCATGAGCCTCTTTATTTCCTCCTGTTCTCTCAGCCAATCAGCTTTCTTCTGTGCCACCTTGCTGACTGTAACAACAACACGTCATCACTCAGAGGTCAAGGTCAAGGTCAAGGTCAACTTTTTAGTTGTTTTTTTTTTTTTGTTTGTCTCCTTACGTTTAAAAACCATCTGCAGGCCTCTCCCGTCCGACACCTCCGTGGTCAGGTGACCCCGCGCCTGCCGCAGCTGCAGCTTCCTCTCATCCGCCGTCTTCATGCCCTTCTGCAGAGCCTCGTCGATCAGCCGCTGGACCTCAGCCTCATCTTTGTCCTCCATGTCGCGGTGGTTCTGCCAGTACTCATGGAACGCCTTTTGTTCCGCCTTCAGTTCCAACTGTAGACAAAAAAAAAAAAAAAATTCAGAATTTTAGAAAGGAGTAGTAAAAGTTCTACCATTTGGCCACCAGGGGGCGATGCAGACACGCGTGCTGGTCTGTTACTCACCTTTCTCCTCATGGCGTCCTCTTGGTCCTGCATCAGTTCCTGCTGCACCTGAGCCAGAAACTCCTTGGTTTGCTGCAGCTCCGCCTCCTTCTCCCGTCGCAGGCGGTCGTTCTTCAGCGTCAGACTGTGGTCCAGCAGCCGGCGTAAGGTGTTCCGCTCCTCGACCTTCTGCTGCTTCTCGCGCTGATCCAGCAGGAGGTTCTCCTCCTGCAGCTTCTTCTACAGAGGGAAACGAGAGCGTCAGTGGAGACGCACCGAGATACCAACAAATCTGGGACAGTTTCTACTTTAACGCTGGATGAAACCTGTGACCTGTGACCTTTGACCCACAGGTGACCTGACAGAAAAAAACGGAAATTCAACCGAGAGTCAACACAAATGGTTTAAATGCAGCGATGTTTGATTATGAAAAAAAATCAATGGTTTTGAAACAGTACATACGGTGACGACGTCTAAGGGTTTTTTAGGACCAGAGGTCGCCGACCTTTGTCCGTCACCTGGTATCAGCCGTAACTGTGGACCAGTAATACGCCACCATCGTTGAAGGATCATTACATTTTTCCAAATCAAATATTAGTATCAGAGTCTGAATGACCTTTGACCTGTTGTTCTGAAACATTTATCTTTGAATGACGACAGTGAAGGGATTATTTCAGAATGAAGTAAAGAAGTAAAACTGTGTCCCACTGCGGCCCCCGGGACCAAATGACCTACGGACCAGCACCGGTCCCCAGACCGGGGGTTGGGGACCCGTGACATATGACATCTTTTCAGTGGTTTTTGGTTACAGTGAAGTGAGAACGTGAGTGTGATTAAAGTGTGAACTCAGACCAGACGAGCCGCTTCCTCCAGTCTCTGCTCTTTCATTTTCTGCTTGGTCTCCTTCGATTCCTCTATCTGCCTGAGGAGGGTGCTCTGCTGCTCGGCGTGCCTCTGCATCTGTAACTCCATGGTCTGGCGCTCTCGCTCCTCCTTGGCGCGTGCGTCCGCCTTCCACAGTTCGTGGTACACGCGCTCCTCCTCCTCCTGTTCCTGCTGCAGCTCCTGCTGCGTCTTCAGCTGGGCCTCCCGCAGCAGGTTCCCCTCCAGGTCCCGTCGCTTGGACTCGGCCACTCGCAGTTCCTCACAGTGCACTCTAGAGGGCGGTGGAGAAAAGGTGATCAGTGTGTGTGTGTGTGTGTGTGATGAACCTGAGAGGGAGGAGACAATCGGACGTTCACCTGAACTGCCGATCCAGCTGATGTGAAATGTACTGCTGTCGCTCCTTCTCTCTCTTGTCCCTCAGCTGTCGCGCGAGTGCGATCATTTTCTTCTTCCGTTCCGCGGTCGTGTCGTATCGCCGCTCCATCTCCTGCAGCGTGTGCTCCTCTTCCTGCTTCAGGAGCTGCTTCAACCTGAGGATAGAGAGAAATATTGGAACTGGAATTTCTGTCCTCGTCATGAACACTCTGTTTCTCCCCAACACAGTTCCTCTTTTGTCCAGCAGGGGGGGCTGGAGCTGCAGTCTGAGGATGTGAAGTAGCAAAAACCATCACTGATGGCAAAAAGAAATCAATGAAAATTGCTAAATGTGCCTTTTTACTTGGAATATCCGACAATATCCGCCGACCGATATTATCGGCCCGATGTTAGCATAATTATGTAATATCTGTAAGAATCGTTATCGGTTTTTCCTCCGATAATGAAAGCCAGATAACGTGGGTTTCGTCAAATGACTTGTGCCCTAAAAATAGTTTTGGGGAAAAAAATGGCTGTATAGTAAAGTGAAAGTCACTAGGTGGCAGCATTGCAGCTCATTTTCTTAAACTCATACAGTGGTTTGTACAGATAAATAACTGAGGTGAGCAGGCTGCACTTCACTTCCTTAACCACCAGGCCACCGCTGCCCCGCTATGTCGGTATCGGTCAATAATATATCAAAGTGTTTGGACAATATCGACATATCGGATATCGTCAAAAAGTCTCTACTTTTTAGCCCAAAACACAGCTAATCGCCGACAGGAAGTGACATAGTAATGGTCCTTACACATCGTCAAAGTGATAGCTAAATCTTTGTTGTTTTTTTAATGCTACAACCCAGTCCACGCACTCCTACCTGCTCCTCCTCTGCTCGACGTCGTTCTCGTGCTCTTCCTGCGCGGCTCTCATTCGTCGGTTTATTTCTTCTCGCAGGAAGTGACGCTGTGTATTCTGCATCCACGAGACCTTGGCGTCAGAGGCGCGAGCGCTTTTGATGGCGTTCGTCTTGTCCTCTATGATGCTTTCCTGCCTTGGTGTCATCTGACATCACACACACACACACACACACCATTGCCACAGATGTCACGAGTTACTGAAACCAAGTACTGGTACTGGTACTGGTACTGGTACTGGTACTGGTACTGGTACTGGTACTTTAACTAACTACCACATGAACTTCACTCTGGCGTGGACATTTAAATTGCCTCAACAGACTGTGATTTACAGTCTATTTTCCTCTCAACATCAACCTCAAAAACTGTTTGCAGACTTCAGAAATAAGAATGAAAAATGTTTTAATTTTCTACCAAAAAAAACTTCATTCAGACAGAATTTTCTTCTTTTTACTGAATATTTTTCAGCCACACTGATGGTTAACAGTTCGTTTGATACAAGATACAACATTTCTCTGAGTCTGGTTTTAAATAGGACACAGCAGTTGACCACACGGTGGCAGCAGTCGTTAGTGCGATCGCCTTCAACTTTAGGAAAAAATTGAAAGGATGTTCTTAAATTGTTGACCTGTCGCTATAGGGTCATGGACTCACCATACTGGGCAGCAGCAGACCAGTATTTCCTGTGTCTCTGGATCTTAAATTCTGAGCTGACCGACGACCCGCGCTCACGTTGTTCATGATTTTCATTTCTTTTTGTTCTTTTTCTTTTGTGTCTCGGGTTAATGTGAAGCTAGTTTACGCTAGCTGTTGTTGCACCGCATCAACAAGTGTCGGCTCCTGGTTCCACTATTTACTCTCTGGGTTAAAGCCAATGTTGTATTACTGTTGTCCACACGGGGGCAGAACAGATTAGAATGACTGCTCTGTAGGTGATGTCAGTATTTTTACTTCAAAGGATAAAAGGATTCATGGCAGTGAAGCGACGAGTTAGTGCAAATTTGGTTGCTTGCTGGGCGTAAAGGAGAGCTTGAAAAGATGGTGACATCAAGAGAAGAAGAAGAAGAAGAAGAAGAAAAAAATAATAATAATAATAATGTTGAGGACCTGGAGGAGGACGAGACATTATTGGATTCCTCACAGAGACATTCTGTCTGTCTGGATGACAGCATCGTGGCTCCAAAGTCTGCTGTTTACTATATATAACAGAACACCATACATACATTGGTAGAAGAATGTTAGAGATGGAGCTACCAGGTAGGAGAAAGAGAGGAAGACCAAAGAGGAGATATATGGATGCAGTGAGGGAGGACATGCAGATAGTTGGAGTCAGAGTAGGAGATGATTTCAAAAATTTTTTTCAAAAAAAAAATTTTTTTTTTCGAAAAAAAACTTTCAAAAAAAATTTTTTTTTTTCGAAAAAAAACTTTCAAAAAAAAAATTTTTTTTTTCAAAAAAAAAATTTCAAAAAAAAATTTTTTTTTAATTTTTTTTTTCAAAAAAAATTTTTTCAAAAAATTGTTTTTCAAAAAAAAAATTTTTTTCAAAAAAAATTTTTTTAAGTTTTTTTCAAAATGTTCCAAAAAAAACTTTTTTCAAATTTTTTTTTAAAAAAAGAGTAAATATCATTTTAAAATGTTTCTTCTGATGTCGTCAGGTCCTTTAAAAAATATATTTAAAACATGTCCACACTGCGGAAAGGTGGCTTCTGGTGTTGCCTTACAACGAGTCTTAGAGCGTTAACCAGTTCCTTTAAAACAAAACCAATCAGATGAGGCTGTTTTTGGTGTTTCATAACCGTTAGCTTCCAATGATACGGTACTTTACTGCCCTCGCCTGGACATAATAGTGCATTACTGCTCAGGTTTTTTTTCCCCTGGCCTTTTCGTGAATTATAACTAAGATATATTTATTACAGAAGAACGAAATGTAAAGAAATGAACTATTATGTTCAATTTAACATTTGAGTTAAAAAAATATATTTTCAATGACACAAACTGGTCGGCGGTGGCAGCAGAGCTCCGGTGTTTCGCTCCACTAAAATCCCATGTTTTCTTCTATGGACTTTTGTGTAGGACTTTTTCCAGGCCTCCGTCGTGGCAGCCATGTTTTTACTAACGAATCGGTAAAAACTCACCTGCTCACATACTCTATCAGTGTTACTATGTCCCATAACTTTAGATGCAGTAGAAATACTTTTATAAGTACTTTTATAGTCCCGTGTGAGTATTTGGACTCACCATGACACCGCAGTGTGGCGCTGTTCTGGTCTTTTCCCGGCACTTCCCGGTTCTCTGCATTGTGAACTAAAGATGTTCAAAATTAAAGTGACGAAACTGTGAGCCACACACGGAGGTCCCGCACGGACGAGTCTCTCTGTTACCATGGAAGTAGTACACAGTGAGAACAGTGCCCCCTGTCGGTGAATGTAGGTGGTTGGGGTTTTTTTGTTTTTTTTAAGTGCCAGAATCAGAAGTGTTTTCTTGATTAGAGTCCGTTCTTTAGGGCAGTGTAAAAATGTACGAGTGACTGTTTCACTATTTACACGACAAAACTTACGTTTGACGTCAATATCGTTGACGTCAGAACGTCTCGGACTGTTCTGAGCAGTAATTGACAACATTATTGACCGGTCGCATAGTCAAAGTCAAGCCCAACTCGTCTTTTAAGGACAACATTACCCAGAAGCCTTTGCTGTCGTTTCAACGTAGACGGTGTTCCGGTAAGAAGCGGAAGTCAAGCACCAAAGTAACGAAAACAAATAAGAAAAACAGCTTAAAATGATGCAAAAATATATTTTAAATGAATTACAAATGTAAAAAAAACCTTCATTCTTTGTTTAGCATTTTATATAAAATGGAACAGAGTGCTAATAAAAAATATATATTTAAATACATATATGTGTACGACATGACACTTTAAAACCACTGAGCACCGAGTTTTATTTCTTTTCTTTTTCCCCATCCAACTCCTCTGTACAAAACTGTATAAAGTCTGATCACGTCGAGTCACCTGCACCACACGCACCGTCGAACGAAAAGAGCTACGCCTCCCTGTGGCGCCAGGCAGTATCAGCACATTTACTGTGGCTGTTATTATGTGAATCACAACATTGCACATTTGAACCGATCAACTCAGCCCAGGCCTGATCTTTGATCTCCAGAAACGTGTCCAGCGTCTTCTCGTACTCCTTCACAGTCGCATCCATCAGCTCCAACATGGCGGGACCGCTTAGTTTTTCATTGAAGGCCATCTGCTCCAGGATGTGGATTTCTAGATTGATGAGCTTCAGGGCCGCTGTTCCCATGGACTTCTTGCGAAGTTCAACGCAGAAAGTCTTCACATTTTCCAGTTGAGCGTTCACTGATCCCACATGTGTTCTGAACTCTCCCACCAGACTTTCTACTTTTTTAATAACCTCTTCCTCTGTAGCTTTGTTGTTCAGATGAAAAATGAGGTAGCCCACATTTATCAAGGCAAACACGACAACACTGAGGCCTCGAGTGGCCAGAGCAGTGAATAACATGTAACCAGCTGCCACTGGTAACAAGCAGAATCCTGCAAACTGCCTGAACTGAAGTGTCTTCACTTTGTCGTCGTCCTCTCGTAGCTCGACTATTATCCGTCTCATCCTCGGTTCATGGCTGTCCAGCGTTGTGACGAACGACGTCACTGAGTCAGCAGCGTTGTCTCCGGCTCCTGTGGGCTCTGGCTCGTCCTGTTCCATTTCCCCCCGGGTGTGGAGTTCAGAGTCAGGCCGAGCATGAAGGACGTCGGACGCTCCTTGTTGCTCTGACGGTGTTTGGTTGGTGTCGTGAGCTGAAGATGAAGGTGTGAATCGAGAAGGAATGTCGTGCTGCAGGTTTTTATAATGTCCTGCAGTTTGTTTGTATTACAGCGGATGATTAACAGGCGTCTGTTGACTTTTTGGGGTCAGTTTCACAGACTATAATATATATTCCAGAAAAAATCAAACAAGATGAAGTTAGTAGTTTTTAGTAGAGATGTTCGATATAAACCGCGGTATCCTACTGAACTGAACTGAAACACTACTGAGAGTTGTTATCGCCAGTATTCTGCAATTAGATTAATAAAATGAGCTGCAATGCTGCCATCTAGTGGCTTTTGCCTTCATATACATTATCTTATTTTTTTCAACTCAACTCAGACATTGCGGCCTTCATATACAGCCCTTTTTTTTCAACTCAACTCAGACATTGCGTTATGGGGTTTTCATTATTGGAGAAAAAAAACGATAACAATTCTTACAAATATTACATAATTATGCTAATATCGAGCCGATAATATCGGACATGCCTGGTTTTTAGCTCATCGTTAAGATGCTTCTGCTGCTCCAATTTGTGATAAACAATGGCTTAAAATGCCATTGAAACACATACAAACCCTTACTGTGATGAAGTTAGTTTTAGTCTTAAGAAGTTCGTTACGGCACAGACGACTTTGACTGCGTGTCAGGAGCAGTATTTGCTCCCAGTGGTGTATTCTTCTCCAGGGAAAATGTAACAACAGATTTTTGAATCAGTTTGTACTAAGTCCTAGTCATAGTAAAGGTCAGGGGTCAACACAAACATTTGTGTCCAGTCCTAACGTCTCTAGTGTACATTTCACAAATGTGAACTGTGAAAAAATCAACTCATAAACAACAACAACAGACGTGATGCGGTCCAAGGTTGTTGGTGTTTGTTGTTGTTGTTGACTGAACGCCAACAGCCTCAGGATGTCGGATTCTAGTGTGATGAACTTCAAAGCTTTTGTTCCAGCTCTGGTTTTCCGAAATTCCCCGCAGGGCGATTTTACGCTTTCCAGTTCAGCGGTCACCGAAACAACGATTGTCCTCAACTCTGCGATCAGTTGGTCTACTCCTCTGACAATACTGTCTTCAGTTGTTTTATAATCGTTGATAACAACAATAATAAATAAAAATAGAACAGGGAATACAACAATACTGCCCCCTGCAGTGAAGGGATAGGCAAGTGCAGCGACAGCAGCCAGTGCTCCCACAGCAAAACTCTTGGCACAGAATTTAAACTGAAGGTTTTTTACTCTTTTGTCAAAGATTAAGAGTTTTTCTAAGACCTGATTCTTCCTGCGTTCGTGGCTGTCCAGCGCCGTGATGTATGACCTCACCGACTCAGCCATCGGTCTCTGCTCCATGTTGGCTGCGGGACGCGCTGCACCATCTTACGTCCAGAACAACGGTGTTCACAGTTGGTGGGTCGGTCCGGTGGGTCGGTCCGGTGGTGTCATTCCTATTTGGCTGCTGAGCCTTTCAGCAGTTCCTTGTCTAACTGCTTTGGCCACAGTGACGCACCCTGCTGCTGGAACAGCGTTCCCAGGTTAGCGCAGGGCGTGTCTGACATCAGAATGATGAACTGCAGGTTGTCGGATGTTTTTTACAGTCAACACCCGTCTCTGGATTTTACCCAACTGTCAGGCCATCTGCTGCCACCTAGTTGACGAGTATTGAATCGTTTTTTCCACTCTCGCAAAGAATAGTGCTTTTCAAAGTGGGGGCTGCGGACCCCTGGTGGGCACATGTGGTGCTAGGAGGGGCCACTAAAAATTAGAAGGAAGATATTTAAAAAAAAAAATTTAATCATTTGTCCTGATCTGAACATCGGTTAAACTGCCCTAACTGTCGGATTCTCAAGTTTCCGATGGTACCTGAATGCACCTCGTGTGCCAGCCGTAACTAGATGATGTCATATAGCGTAGCATATAGCATGTAGCTAGCTAGTGCATGTTTGTTAATAATTACCTTGTGCTACACAAACGATTGCAGATAAAGTTGTTCCATTTTTCACTGATGTCACAGCGATGACCGACCTTGTTTCTAAAAACACACAGAACCTTTTTTTTTCCTGATCGGGTTTATTGATCTAAACATCAATGGCAGCACATTTAATCACAGATTTGAGAAACAAAACATCATCACTATGAAATGTCATTCAATTAAACTCCAGCTTCACATGACATGAAACATGATAATAAATATTTAGAGAGAGAGAGAGAGAGAGAGAGGTTTCCACAGTGTTGGAATCCTTAACCAGTTAAAAAATTGAACAAAAATCGGAGTCAAGTTTCCATGACCTCAAGACCTACATCCCCCCGGAACTGAATTAAATACCCCCCCCCCGCTTCATTTTAATTTAGGCTCCCAAAGACTCAGTCAAACGTGGCCAAAGAGAACATTATTGGCGGTGACGACAATATTTCATCATGTTGATAAATACAGTGTAAAACAGTTCCATCCTTCTCAGAGTCACTGATGAGCCCATATAAACAGATATTGTACATATGTACAAACCTAACAGTTATGCTGTGTATACATAATAAATATTGATATATGTATGTAGAAATACATACATATATCAATACAGTATATATATATATATATATAAAATCTATGTCACTTCATGTACTAAAAAAAAAGGTTGATGATTTGGGAAATACTACCAACAGTAACTGTTCAATCTATATCACTGCTGTTAGTTGTTTGTGCTGTCGGCCACTAGGTGGCACAGCAGTCTGTAATCTGGGGGTGTTTCTCAGGTCTCTGTATCTGTCCCATTATTTCAGGCAGTTGTTTCAACTTAAAAAAAAAATTTGTTGTAACTGAAAACATGTCACTTCCTGTAGGTTCACAAACCTTGGGTTGTGGCCCTGTTGAACACACACACAGTGATCGCTAACGTCGTCGTTTAGTGTTCATTCATTATTAGTTTTTGTCCAAATAGTGTGTCATGTCGTCTCCCCGGTGATGGAGGTGATGGTGGGTCGATGGCACCGGCTCAGTGTGAGGACCACACCTTGATTTCTTTTTACTGATACGGATCGTCTTTTCTCGCTCACAGAATCCACCAAGAGAGTTCGGAAAATCCCGTTCTCCTTCAGTATTTACACGGAGGTGACGGAGAGACCGATAATAAATAATCAACATAAATCAACCTTTACTGGAGCGCAGTGATGTGACCTCGTCGGGCTGCATGCTCAGGTCACGGCTGTCGTGACACAAAGCTGATGAATCAGTGTTTCCTTCGTCATGCTAGCGCCGGCTGGACGCGGCGACGTCGTCCGCCTGCTCTGTTGCAGTGCATGCTGGGAGACGAGAGGACGGAGGGTTGTCGAGTGCGGGTGGACTTGGAGGCTGGTGTTAAACGTCGTCGAATATTCTGCTGCGTGACGACGACATGGAGAGATAGCGCCCCCCTGTGTGTCTGTCAAACAGATGTAAAACACAAAATCAGAGCAGAAATTTCAAAAAAAAGTCTAGTCAAGTCGGTCAGTGTGGACTCCGAGTCGGTCAGTGTGGACTCTGAGTCGGTCAGTGTGGACTCTGAGTCGGTCAGTGTGTCCCTTACCTTCCAGACTCTGAGTCCAGACCCTCGTCTGTCAGGGTGTCAGCACTGAAGTCCAAAGGTTCTGCGTCCTGCAGCAGCTCCATTCGGTCTCTCTCCCCTCGGCCGCTGCCGCGTGAATATTTTGCTTCTGTAGAAGTGACAACAGTGGACGGAGTTAGTAAACCACCTAGTGTTGCAGTACCACGACTGAGCCAGGATGAGGAGCTGGTCAGTGTGTAGCTCACGTCTGGTACCACTAGGGGTCACAGAGTCCGAGTAGCTGGTCTCCTTCATCTCGTGACTGCTTCTGTTCCTCGTCGAATATTCCTCCCTGGAGTTTCCGTAACGCTCCTTCCACTCCTGTGACGTAAACACATGAACAGGTCAGAGGTCAACCACCATCATCATCATCATCATCATCATCATCAGTCTGTGTGACCACAGTGCTGCCAGTCCGACTCACTCTTCGCCTGTTCTCTCCATCTTCGATCCGTTGACGCTTTCTTTTTTCTGTACATCAAACATCAGAGCAACAGTTGACATCAGAGCAACAGTTGACATCAGAGCAACAGTTGACATCAGAGCAACAGTTGACCAACAGTTGACAACATCAGAGCAACAGTTGACATCAGAGCAACAGTTGACAGTGACAGACATCACACTCAGGTACTACGAACGTCATCGTTACTATGGGCTGGTCTCACCTCGTCGGATCAGTTCCTTTCCCTCGTCAATTAGATCGGAAGTCATTTCATTGTCGCCGAGAAACTGCTGGAAGCCCAGAAGGTTCAGGCATCGGGTTCCCAAACTAAGGGAGGGGTCAGTGACGTCAGTGAATCTGGGTTCTGTTTGAAAACCTTCGTCGTGTGTCACCAAAGCTTCAGACAAGGTGGACAAGTCAAACCCGTCTCACCTGAAGTACGTAGCTATACACAGGATCACGATCAGCATGGGGTAGTAGATGTAGAAGCCGTTTGCGATGAAGGACAAAACTTTCATTGATCCCATGATCTGAAAAAAAAAAAAAACAGTCAGACGGGACGGAGCTCGAGTGAAAGGAGAACGAAAGGCTTCAAGCTACACTGCACTGATGGAATCGGTTCTTACTGAGGAACTCAACCTCACGTTAACAGAAGAAAGTTCCAGCATAAAACCTCTCTTTCTTTCCATTTAAAAATGGTCTGTTGTAAAACTGTATTTATCACTTATTTTAGGGAAGTCTAATAATATCGGCCGACTGATATTATCGGACCGATATTAGCATAATTATATAATATCTGTAAGAATCGTTATCGTTTTTTTTCCTCCGATAATGAAAACTCTGATAATGCCTGGGCATTTTATTAATTTCGTGTGCCTTAAAAATAGTTTGTGGGAAAAATGCCTGTATCTGATAGTGACGTCACTAGATGGCAGCATTGCAGCTCATTTTATTAATTTATTTTAATAATCGGGGGATTGTATGAAGAAACACAAACTGGTTCGTACAGATGAACAAATAAATATTACTAAATAAAACTTCTGTCCCCTAGGGGGAGCAGGCGGTAATGAACCTCCTTAACCACCAGGGCACCACTGCCCCGCTATATCGATATCGGTTGATATCGGAATAGGAAATTAGTATCAATATTTTTTAGATTTCGGCAAAAGTTTATTTTATTTTTAAAGTTTATTGTTTCAATTTAAAAACCCTGTGAATTTCTGTTAAATTACTTTGTATAAAACACTTCTCTGAGTGCCCACTATGGGGCACTGTGTTGTCATAGCTCATGCTGTTCATCCAGTAAGTTCAATAGTAAAGTAGGTTGTGTACCGAGGTGTAGGCGGTCTGCTCCTTGTCCTGGTGGGAGATGGCAGAGTCCATGTGGATCAAACCCAGAAAGTTCAGGCAGAGGGGCGGAGTCAGACGACAGAACAACCTACGCAACGCAATCAAGGTGGAAGAAACAAGTGGGGAATTATTTAGACCCAAACACTGTATTCACCAACAGCTCAACGCAGCCAGAATGACTGCGTTACTGTGCCAGAGATAGTCGCCAGGTCGGTGATCGCTAGCCTCACTTACATGCCGCTAAACTGGAGGCTGTACGCATCGGTCTGGTGGTGGGACGCCAGGTAGTAGTAGTTGAAAACCCGAATGCGGAAAACGGTGGAGTAGACGCAAGTGCACAGGAAGAAGATTGTGATGAAGCACGCCATCTGGTGGACAGCGGTGATAAAACAAATGGAAGTTAACTTTAATATATACACAAATATGTACAGTATATATTTATATATATACACAAACATATATGTATATATGCATATATATATATATATGCATATATATACACATACATATATGCATATATATATAAAAATATATAAATGCATATATATATAAAAATATATAAATATATACATATATGCATATATATAAAAATATATAAATATATACATATATAGATATATACATATATATAAATATATACATATATAAATATATACATAAATATAAATATATACAGTACATATATACATATATGCATATATATACACATATATACATATATGCATATATATACACATACATATATGCATATATATACACATATACATATACACATATATACACACATACATATACATATATACATATATAAATATATATAATATATGTATTTATGTATACAGTATATACAGTACATATATACATATATACAGTACATATATACATAAATACATAAATATATACATATATATACATATATATATATAAAAGCTTTAATTGTTTTTCCTCTTTACCTCAATGTACAGGTAGTTGTAGTCCCGCTCAGCCAGCTGGATGAAGACAGCGAACAGAGAGAGGACGGGGCGAGTGCTGAAGAAGGTGCACTCAGACCAGACCACGGCGACACTGAACAGAGTCAGGATGACGGAGAGCAGTCGGTAGAACCAGGACTTCAGGAGACAAAGCCAGTACCACTCTACACACACACACACACACACACACACACACACACACACACACACAGAGAGAGAGTGACGCAACAATCTCCTGATAGTCTTCAAACAGAGTAACGTTAACCGTCCCACAGACCGCAGCTTGGACCCACCTACGGTCGGCGTGTAGAGGTACCTGCTGACCCAGCTACTGGACTCAGGTAATGGGAAGCTGTGGACAAACTGGTGGGTGGAGCTGGTCTCGTTCTTGGCTACGTCCTCCAGATGGATGGCCTGCTGCAGGAGAATCTGCCACTGAACACGAGTCCTGTTGTGTCTTTGGACGGCGTAGATCACCTGGACGGACGCACACAGACCACCGTCACAGACCACCGTCACAGACACCCACAGACCACCGTCACGGACACACACAGACCACCGTCACAGACACCCACAGACCACCCTCACCGAAAAACCAAGCCCACCGCACAAACAC